TAATTTAATTGGAAACCAAAAAGTTAAACTTTTTATCTTAGTCAATTTTTTACCAAGAAAAAAAAGTCGTTAACATTAATTAATTAATTTATAATGATAAAAGTAGAGCTTTAGGAAAAATTTTAAAATATAAGGATACATGTTTAGTATGTTAAAACTTACTAAAAGAAAATCTTAGCAAATTTGTGTGATAATTTTTTTAAAAAATAGGTATATTTTTTAGGTATAATTATTTTTCTCAGTTCAGGCAAAATAATTTGGCTGATAGCTTATTTTTACAAAAATATATTATTATCTTATATGCTATCTTACGACATACATCATCCGTTTTTCCAATAAAACTAATAATTTTTGAAATGTTTTCTACTATCCTTAACACATTTATACAATCTGCATTTTTTTTAATGCAACAAATGCAATAATTAAAAGTTTTTGAATTGAGAAGATTACCCAGCGGCATGAATTCTTAACTTAAATTTGTTTCGTATTTGTTATTTATAAGATTCGGTTTATGCGAGATGACGACTGAGGTTAGAGGGTTTTGATGGTGGATATTTTTTGTTTGTATTTTTTATATTTAGCTTAATATTTAAACTATATACTTATGTAATTAATAAGAAATTCTATCCACAATTATAACGCTTATACACGGATATAAATTAAATATAATCGCGACAGTACCGACTTTTACAATTTTTCATTTTTTAATCAAAATAAATAATATAAAGTAAAAAACTATATTAACGGAAATAAAGGAACTGGAAATTGCGTGTAGGTATAAAACAAAATATACATTAATAAAACATTCTATGAAAGAATATATAACAGTCAAATGCTTAGCTATATTAAAAAATATATTGTATTATTTTAAAGGTGAGCAGTTTCAATCACTGGGAAGAATGGGCTGATGGCCATTGTCGCCTGGTGTACCCGTCGAATTGTGAGGAGGCCAAGAGACACGCTTCTGGATGGGCAATGAGGAATACAAACAACCATAATGTGCACATCTTGAAGAAATCTTGTCTAGGTGTCCTCCTGTGTTCTAGAAGGTGCGTACTACCAAATGGCGATACAGTCCACCTAAGACCAGCCATATGCGACAAGGCCAGGAAAAAGCAACAAGGTATGTTTCATACATTTAAAAACAATAAACATTTTAACTCATAATATTATTGTGAACTGGCAAACATATTAAAACAATTAATCTAAACAGGTTAGCTCAGACAACAAAGATTTTTATATTATTTTTAAAAACAATATAAAAATATTTCTTATACAAGTGCTCTTACATTAAAAATAAACCACACCAATGGACTCGTCCGATTTCCGCCAAATTTTTTTTGAATAATCATATTTCATAACGCTGCTTAATTCGGATTAATTCGGGTTTTTATACTGCCTGTAACTTTTAAGTATTGAGTATATATTCAATGTATACAATATATACTCAATGCTGTAAGCTATTCGGTTCATTATCTATTTTTTGTCACAGTAAAAATCTACTGTTATTATTATTGTACACGCTCGTTTTAACTTCTTATTGTATTGTGAACAACAATAATTTATTATTACCTATAAAATACAGTATACATTATTATATATTATTAGGTAATGTACCTACTTATTATAGAAACCAATAAACGATTGTTACTGTCAATTAATTTAATTGGAAACCAAAAAGTTAAACTTTTTATCTTAGTCAATTTTTTACCAAGAAAAAAAAGTCGTTAACATTAATTAATTAATTTATAATGATAAAAGTAGAGCTTTAGGAAAAATTTTAAAATATAAGGATACATGTTTAGTATGTTAAAACTTACTAAAAGAAAATCTTAGCAAATTTGTGTGATAATTTTTTTAAAAAATAGGTATATTTTTTAGGTATAATTATTTTTCTCAGTTCAGGCAAAATAATTTGGCTGATAGCTTATTTTTACAAAAATATATTATTATCTTATATGCTATCTTACGACATACATCATCCGTTTTTTCAATAAAACTAATAATTTTTGAAATGTTTTCTACTATCCTTAACACATTTATACAATCTGCATTTTTTTAATGCAACAAGTGCAATAATTAAAAGTTTTTGAATTGAGAAGATTACCCAGCGGCATGAATTCTTAACTTAAATTTGTTTCGTATTTGTTATTTATAAGATTCGGTTTATGCGAGATGACGACTGAGGTTAGAGGGTTTTGATGGTGGATATTTTTTGTTTGTATTTTTTATATTTAGCTTAATATTTAAACTATATACTTATGTAATTAATAAGAAATTCTATCCACAATTATAACGCTTATACACGGATATAAATTAAATATAATCGCGACAGTACCGACTTTTACAATTTTTCTTTTTTTAATCAAAATAAATAATATAAAGTAAAAAACTATATTAACGGAAATAAAGGAACTGGAAATTGCGTGTAGGTATAAAACAAAATATACATTAATAAAACATTCTATGAAAGAATATATAACAGTCAAATGCTTAGCTATATTAAAAAATATATTGTATTATTTTAAAGGTGAGCAGTTTCAATCACTGGGAAGAATGGGCTGATGGCCATTGTCGCCTGGTGTACCCGTCGAATTGTGAGGAGGCCAAGAGACACGCTTCTGGATGGGCAATGAGGAATACAAACAACCATAATGTGCACATCTTGAAGAAATCTTGTCTAGGTGTCCTCCTGTGTTCTAGAAGGGGCGTACTACCAAATGGCGATACAGTCCACCTAAGACCAGCCATATGCGACAAGGCCAGGAAAAAGCAACAAGGTATGTTTCATACATTTAAAAACAATAAACATTTTAACTCATAATATTATTGTGAACTGGCAAACATATTAAAACAATTAATCTAAACAGGTTAGCTCAGACAACAAAGATTTTTATATTATTTTTAAAAACAATATAAAAATATTTCTTATACAAGTGCTCTTACATTAAAAATAAACCACACCAATGGACTCGTCCGATTTCCGCCAAATTTTTTTTTGAATAATCATATTTCATAACGCTGCTTAATTCGGATTAATTCGGGTTTTTATACTGCCTGTAACTTTTAAGTATTGAGTATATATTCAATGTATACAATATATACTCAATGCTGTAAGCTATTCGGTTCATTATCTATTTTTTGTCACAGTAAAAATCTACTGTTATTATTATTGTACACGCTCGTTTTAACTTCTTATTGTATTGTGAACAACAATAATTTATTATTACCTATAAAATACAGTATACATTATTATATATTATTAGGTAATGTACCTACTTATTATAGAAACCAATAAACGATTGTTACTGTCAATTAATTTAATTGGAAACCAAAAAGTTAAACTTTTTATCTTAGTCAATTTTTTACCAAGAAAAAAAAATCGTTAACATTAATTAATTAATTTATAATGATAAAAGTAGAGCTTTAGGAAAAATTTTAAAATATAAGGATACATGTTTAGTATGTTAAAACTTACTAAAAGAAAATCTTAGCAAATTTGTGTGATAATTTTTTTAAAAAATAGGTATATTTTTTAGGTATAATTATTTTTCTCAGTTCAGGCAAAATAATTTGGCTGATAGCTTATTTTTACAAAAATATATTATTATCTTATATGCTATCTTACGACATACATCATCCGTTTTTCCAATAAAACTAATAATTTTTGAAATGTTTTCTACTATCCTTAACACATTTATACAATCTGCATTTTTTTTAATGCAACAAATGCAATAATTAAAAGTTTTTGAATTGAGAAGATTACCCAGCGGCATGAATTCTTAACTTAAATTTGTTTCGTATTTGTTATTTATAAGATTCGGTTTATGCGAGATGACGACTGAGGTTAGAGGGTTTTGATGGTGGATATTTTTTGTTTGTATTTTTTATATTTAGCTTAATATTTAAACTATATACTTATGTAATTAATAAGAAATTCTATCCACAATTATAACGCTTATACACGGATATAAATTAAATATAATCGCGACAGTACCGACTTTTACAATTTTTCTTTTTTAATCAAAATAAATAATATAAAGTAAAAAACTATATTAACGGAAATAAAGGAACTGGAAATTGCGTGTAGGTATAAAACAAAATATACATTAATAAAACATTCTATGAAAGAATATATAACAGTCAAATGCTTAGCTATATTAAAAAATATATTGTATTATTTTAAAGGTGAGCAGTTTCAATCACTGGGAAGAATGGGCTGATGGCCATTGTCGCCTGGTGTACCCGTCGAATTGTGAGGAGGCCAAGAGACACGCTTCTGGATGGGCAATGAGGAATACAAACAACCATAATGTGCACATCTTGAAGAAATCTTGTCTAGGTGTCCTCCTGTGTTCTAGAAGGGGCGTACTACCAAATGGCGATACAGTCCACCTAAGACCAGCCATATGCGACAAGGCCAGGAAAAAGCAACAAGGTATGTTTCATACATTTAAAAACAATAAACATTTTAACTCATAATATTATTGTGAACTGGCAAACATATTAAAACAATTAATCTAAACAGGTTAGCTCAGACAACAAAGATTTTTATATTATTTTTAAAAACAATATAAAAATATTTCTTATACAAGTGCTCTTACATTAAAAATAAACCACACCAATGGACTCGTCCGATTTCCGCCAAATTTTTTTTTGAAGATCGAAAATTGTTTTATACCTACACATTTTATATTCCAATGCATGTTATGAATATTTTATTTTAATTATTATTATTGTCATGTTTTATGTTACCTGATAATAGTTTTCTTATGGTATGAAATAACATGTGAGACTTAAGATAATATGTGATATATCATAATGAGTATAAATATAGTACCTAAGAGAAGTGCATAGTGTGTAGTATAGTACTATGTCATATGTATTTAAATTACCTAACATAGAAAATAATAATAATTGTTTTGGTTGGATTTGTAGGTAAACCCTGTCCAAACCGCCAATGCAGTGGGCACTTGGAAATAATGCCCTGTCGTGGACACTGTGGCTACCACGGTCACTCATTTCTGGAGGCACACCGAACATGCCATTTTTTTTCAAGCAAAAGGTGTGCATGATCATTTAAGGCCGGAAGCCAAATCAACTTCAGAAGCCCGGAGAAGTTTAAAAATCAGGAACTTTGGTATGTTAGTGTCAAGAGATGTTTCATTCAACAACGGCAAGGTAAGATAAAAAAAATTGTCTTAAAAATAAAATAACGAATTTTAAATATATATACAAATATAAAAAGCTTAAGTTTATTATAATATAATTACTAGTTTTATTGTTAAAATAAATTGAATGGTAACGATAGTTGCTTAGATATAGATAACAATGTTTGTTTTTTATCTAATACAGTGTACAAAAAAATCCAAGACAGACATTCCCACATCTACTAAATACTTGAAATAAAAATAATTTCATCGAGAAGTCAATTCATAGAGTAGGTACCATGTGTTGTGGAAATTATATCAGTGGCTAAAAACGTTCAATGTTAATATATCGTGAAAATTACACAGCCAACAAAAGTACCGGTTAAGTTAGGCGCACAAAGAAAAGCACCATAGTAAAATAAAATTGTGACGATTCTCAGAAAAAAAGAGTAATTATTATAGTAATAATAAAAGAACAACTAATTTTTGTATCGTATAGATTTTAATATTGTTTTCTTTGATACTTATTTAACTACAACCACTTTACTAATTACCGCTATAACCTGTCAAAAGATTGAGTGTAGAATTTTTTTATTGTAAATGCAGTATATGCAAATATGTAATATAATGAATATTTAATTTAAACTTAATACAAAGACGTTATTCTGAAAAAGTATTGACAACAAATTTGGTACAAACAGTAATCTCAAATATGTATAAAATAATTTTGAAAAAAGCTATAGGTATAATAAAAAATACCTACTACTGATTTAAAATTGAAATTTTGATCATTTTTATATTGTCTTTAGAATTATCTTCAATTAGGTTTATCTAACGTGATTTTAATTCAGTTAATCGAATAGGTAATAACTGTTCCAACTCTCAAATAATTCCCGCCGCTATCATAAAAAATATTTTTAAATTTTTTAACATATCGGTAGATACTCTATATGTTTTATAGTGATTCAAATGAGATACGCATTCCCACTTAAAATTTTCTTAAAAGTTGCTATTTTGTAATTTTGTTTGTGTTATTTTACAATATTATAAAATAACTATAAGTATTTTAGTATTTCCCAGAGCTTAAACAACTTTTTAGACTTAGTGGTAACTTCTATATTTAATTAACATTTTAAACTAAGATTAATTGCAATACAAATTTGATTGGTCGTTAACCAGTTTAAGATAATTACTTTTAAAGTTTAATGTATATGTATATGTATAAGTTACCAATAGTTTCAGAAGTTAATCAATGTCTGGAGAATACTAAGAAAGAAAAAATCGAAAATTGTATATTATTGTAAAATAGCATAAAAGAAAAGAAAAACTACAAAATTGCAATTATTTTAAGAGAAAATCAGTGTCTTATCCTTTATTAAATCACCCTGTATTATTTTTATAACAAATTTTGAGAATAGTGGGCATTATTTACAGCAGCACTGATTATTATAATTGTTGTGAAACAAAAATTGTATTATTTAGTTTAAATCGACTAATTTTTATCAATGAACTAATGAACATTAATACATTTTTTGTTTAGCAAACAAGAATACGATGATCATAGTATGAGTAATGAATGCAGTTACTCTCGTGGTCGACCACCGACAGAATCTATTACTCGCATCACCGACTGGGATATCAACGACTCAATTATACCAAAGGTAAAGTACCATATTATATACGTTTTAATAATCATATTTCAATTTTTTTGTAAATAAATCATTAGCTTACAAAATACCAAAAGTCTATTTTTGAAAGAAAAAAAAACTTAAACAAATAACTTTGTTTTTTTAATTTATTAACGCTTATAACCGTCAACACATTTTGTTATGTAAAACTTACATCACACACGTTTAATCGCCAGTCGCTGTAGTCTACCGCAAAGGGGGTTTACCTTGTTTGTTTTTTCTGTGTAAGTAATCGACACAGCTCGCCATTATCGGACCGGAATAAGCTCATGTTATTATTAAGCTTTTTGTACGGTTTATTCGAAGTCTTACGAGCATATGCAAAACCCGTGTAGAAGGAGTACAGGTCGATTTTTGTTTAAAAGTGTAGCACATATTATATGTACATATTATACGGTACAAAGTTTATACTTGTATAAGTATTATGTCGTTGTTTATAATTATCATACCCTCCATGGCGTTTGTCGTAACACGATTATTGTTGTAAGCGTTACATCTTACAATCACTTAAAATTATAACACACTTATGCTAACGTTATAAACTAGTGAGAATTGAAAAGTGCGCAGAATGAACGATTTTCGGAAGCCGAATCCTTTTAATCGTTTTCGGCCGTTAAACTTTTTGATACACCCACTTAGCCCTTTATAATATTACAGTTACAAAACCTCTTAAATGTAAATACCGTACTACACCATGAACCAACGCTACAGTTACGGTAAAACAAGTTTCAAAAGTGATTAAACCTAATTATTTGCTTATAGCAAAATGTTAGTGCAAAATATTATATTCTTTAAAATGCGAATAAAAAAAATACTAATTAAAACACACAATTATTATAACCATACGTTATCATTTTAGAGCAGACCTGTTGAATATCATTGGGTTGCTTGAATACTTTGAATGATTTTATTGCGATTATGTCTATAACAACTGTGAATAAGTGTGGTGTAAGTCGATTTCAGTGATTTTACAGGTTTTTTTTTTTGAGCGATTTCAAGTTTGAAATAAACCATTTGAGTACCTCTAAGATATTTATCAATACAAGAGGATCATAAAAAAATGTAATGTTTTTAATGAAATCCTGATTTATGGCAGCTGGTTAAAGTTTAAAATCGCTCCCCTGTAAAATCACTAGAATCGACTTACACACTTATTCACAGTTGTTACAGATATTATGTGCTATTTAAATTGAACTAATAACGACCTAATCGTCAGTATACATCAGTCGCCAGTTATTGTATACGATTCGAATTAGTTAAAAATTAATAACTCCATTTATAAATACGCTTAATTGTGTGGAGCAAGGAGGACTGAGATGTTAAATATTATAATAATATGTATTTTACATGGAAACATATAAATTAAACGACTATAGTATATACGTATAATTAATATCTAGTTGTTTAGCCCTACCCGAGCCACAAATATACTATACAGATTATAATTATTAAATCGGTTTTGCATTGTCTTCGGGAAAAATTAATACCTTTAATTGTAGTACCTTTAATCACACTCAAAAACCGCCTAGTCGGTTGCCCATGAATCATAAAATATATAATATAATATTATGAATATGAATGACTGTAGAGCTGTTTTCTACACGGACAATATAGCATAAATACTATAGTATAACATACTTATAAATTGTAATTTGTAGGTCAAGTTGTAAACAAAAAGTCTCAGATTTCTCTGCTGATCACTAGGTATATAAATTAAACCTAAGGCATTATGTGCACGACAGGTTCGTTGATATATTACAATTATATTGAACACGATTTTCACATATTTCAAAATCTAGATTTCGATCGTTCAAATTATATAGTTATAAATAACGCGCTTTATTTACTTTATTTGTCAATGAATAAATTATAGCTTTTAATTATTGATGGTCCATCTTTAGTCACTATTTAAGTGTACAATTTCAAACAATTGATAGTATTTAGTTATGTTATAATTAAAAAATTATAATATGTAAAGTACTCTATGATATTATTTGTTTCACGCAAAATTTACCACGTCTTGTGGTTTTAAATTTACTGTGTGTAAAATAAATAGTATGTACAAACGTATAATCAAATTAAAACAATTTTTAAGCTCCGCATCTAAGTTAAAATATTTTATATTTTATTCATCATCATCATCATCATCAGCTTCCGGGACGGGTCGTCAATCCGTCGCCGTAGAGGGGGATGGCGGTTCCTTTTCACCGAACGATTGCTCGCCCAGCAAACGGAGCGCCTTATATTTTATTCAACTAGGTAGAAACTAGGAACCCAATTTTATGGACATAAATGTCCAATTAATGGACAATTATGTACATAAATGATAATATATTTAGTTTAAGAACAATGGTATCATTCAACCGATTTTAAAGTAAAAATGCATAATTAAGCATTATAAGAATAGGTTTTTTAAAAATTTTGGTTTACATAATAAGTTTATTCTTGAAATTAATAACTATTGATTAGAAAAAAAAACAACGATTACCTTCGTCCTATGATGGCTAGTGTAATTATAGAATTTTCGATTATAGCGTTTAACAATCTAATTAAAAAATGTGTAAATAGTATGTAAAAATAACCTACAATCTTACAAACAAGAAAAAATATAATACTTGTTTAAGTATTGATTTAATAATTACTATTTCCAAAATAAATTAATATTAGCCATTAACGCATTCTTTATAATTTAATAAATTGTAACAATTCAAAATAATTATAAAAATTGGGTTTTTAAAAATTTATGTGAATTGTAATATACATTTAAAATTTTATTTCAGACTTCAACTTCAAGGAAACAAAAGTCAGTAAACACTCGTAAGAACTATTTAAGTGTTCAACCCGCCCGAGTAGTTCCCGATAATCAAAATATAAGTAAGTCTATATACCTAATTAAAACTCAAATAATGTCTTTCAGTTATAACTTATAAGTAAAATGTAAATAAGTTATAACATCATTAAATGTCTCGTTATAAATATTAAAGTTACAAGATAGGAATTCTCTTTAAAATATAAACCAAAAAATAATTCTTAATTATATTTAAAAATGATTTATCAATTAAAAATTTTAATCAATATTTCTGCAAAAGGAATCATATTTTTTTCTTTTTGGTATACCACTAAAATAATAATTATTACCGTTTTACATGGTGATTTTTTTATTTTTAATAATTTTTGAACATATTTAAATTAAAAAAAAAACATTTTTCAGCTCCTATCACAAGATATAAGAATCAACTATTAGACTTAAGAAGTATCCAAATAGTTACTTCCAAGCCAAATTAGGTGTAATCCAAATAAAAATATATTAAATTGGTTCACTGACTTTTCTACTTGATTCACTTGATTTTCTATTTCCTATTTAATTATTACCAGTTTAAAAAAAAATTAATAAAAAATAGTAGAAATAAAATTCTGAACGAAAAAAAAATACGAAATTAAAATTTTTCAAATTTTATAGATTTTTTCATTTAGTTTTAATCGATTTTCCAATAAATATTTTTTATTCAGATAAATATCGCAAGTACCTAAATTGTATCCAAAATGAGTGTAATGAGGCTAGAACAACGGTCGATCGCCTTTTAATTTGTGTATAGCTCTGATATTTTTTCGGTGGAAATATTAAGATCATTTATATTTTGCTTTAAAATCAGATTACAATAATGTTTAATTATTTCAGTTACTCGACAAACTTGCTCAGCTAAAATAGTCAATTCTAATAATCGCATACCTATTTTGCCACTATTGAAAAACTAATTTTAACCATTATGTTTTGTTTTCCAGACCCTAACTGTTCGTGTTTACCACACTGCTGTGTATGTAACCGCCTCGAGCTACCCGCAACGACCGCCGACACGGGGATGCCGCAACCGTACGCTTTTGGCGGCGACAACTGGTCGTCGGGTATGCAACAATTCACCCGTTTACCGCCGCCCGCCGACCCGTCACCCATCGACGATTTTGCTGCCGCGCTTTGGGTCCCGAGGCGTTCGGTCAGCCACAGCCGTGCGCCGCTCTGGCCAACGATGTGTTCCAAGACGGCCACGACCCGTCGTCGTACACCAACAAGTCACCTACCACTATGCTGGACCTGGGCCAATGATGTCGGTTTGGCCAGCCCAATCGACTTCATCGGGGCAAACGCCGACGCGCTGACCGACGCGTCTGTTGACTTCATGGTGTTGGATCCCTCGAAAATGTTAAACAATAACAATAATGACTATTACATGGACCCTTATTGCGCCGGTATCGCCGTCGAGTCTTCCAGCGACTATAGCGACTTTTCGCTGAATTGGTCTCAGTAAAATGTATTAAAAACGTTTATTCTTTAATCTTTTGTGTATTTTAATTTTTATAGCTTTCTGATTATATATATATATATATATATATTTTCATATATTCGTGTATATTTATGTATTTAAATACCTCGTTTGTAGTTTTTTAATTTAGGTATAAATTTCTTTTTTTGACTACCTGTATATTACTATGTTTAAATGAGTTTTATAAACTTGACATAAAAGTATGTTTTTAGATCTCCCTTTTGTATTATAATTTTTCAGCTAAATAATATTCACGTGTTTAAATTAAATTGAATTTTATATATGATTTACTGTATATTTTAGTGTCTATTCACTCTGTACTATTTGAAAGGGTTGAAAATCTACGTGGAAAACTTAAATAACTGACGAGATAATATCTACACAGGGCAAGATAATGAGGGTAGACGATTTTGATCAATGTTTAGCTAAGAAGTTCCATTAACCTAATGAATAATTCCTTCGGCTAGCATAAATAATTCAACTGCCAACGAATGATGTCTTATGGATGTACATAATATGTATAAAAAATGCATTAAAGCGAGATAGGTAATTTTCATCACTTGAAGCTTTTAAGGTAACACAAAAATATGTATAAAGGATTAAAATTTTGAACATCAGTGGTGCAGCTAGAATTTTTGAAACCCCAGACAAGAACACTATAAATGGTTCCCGACCCTCATATATCTATTTAGGTAAGTGCTTTTTATAATTTTTATCTAAAACAAATCTATTATTCGGCTAGGTACCGAGGTAAGTAAAAACTGAAAAAAGACATAATAAATATGTACCTAATCACATCATCACATGTGATCTTTCAATTTTAGTACCTTATAATTCTGAAATTCTTTGTCGATACTTCCCACAAGCTCTGCTAAACTTATTAGAGGGGTGATAAAAATGGAAATACTAAAAAATATGTATACATATTGCACTCATCTATGAATCAATAGGTTATAGTGCTTAATTGTATTCATACAGGTTCAGGTGCGTAATGGGTAATGGGTCATGGATATGAGTATGTAATAGGTAATACATTTAATATAATGTTATATAATAGTATGCGAATATGATAGAAATCATTATGTAATATTATTTAAAAGTTTTTTGATACAAGAACAATTTCACTTGTGACCTAGATTCTACCATGTATAATCCTATCGTGAAATAGACAAAACTTGCTAATTGAGTCTATTGCAAAGTTTATATTGTCAACTATAAGAACGCAAATAGTTTCAGCTCATTATTTTAGTATAAGTTCTGATTCTATTATATTTAACCTGGAATATTTATTTCAATTTTGTGTATCTTTAAAGTTAAGAGTTAACCGGTTAACGATACGTCATTTGTTTATAACGTTTAATTGATTTAAATTAAAAATGCCAGTTGTAAGGCACATATTTTGAACAACACATCAAAATAATTGAGGAATGAGAATGGTTACGACCCCGTATTCTTATGTCAGATGAACAAAAAAGATTTATAAGTACTGCACAGCGCCCGTAAGTAATCAAATTAACATCATTTTTGAAAAGTATTAACTAGTGAGTAGTGACGGTTTTAGCATACATTTTTACGAGGCGAAAAAATATTATTGGCGACCGTCGGGTACTACCGGCGTCACATTTCGGCAAGGTATTTAACATAGTAAAATAATAAGTAAAGAAAAAAAATTATTTTACATCAAAATGATCACAGTGAATCATCACTGTAATCCAATTATTCAATTGGTATTTGAACTGGCAGTACTTCTAGCTTTCCCTAGAAAAAGAACGATGTTTCTTGAGCGGCCCAATAATTTCATAAAGTGGAGAGATGAATAATGTTTTAATCGTTTACGCACTATGAGAATTGTATATATGTCACTATACCAGTCTATATGTCAGTATGGAAATAAATGTATGGGGTGGTATCAATCAGTGGTTTAACTTTAGTTTAAACCAATGATAATCGATTGTAAACGGTCTTTTCCATTAGAACTCCGATTAGAGTTTAAACTAATACTGCAAAACAGGCTAACGTTAGAGGTGGTAGCGCACTGCACAGTAATAAACGGCTATAAAATAGTACCAATAAGAAGTAAAACAAACTGGTATACAATAGAATATTATTTAATTGACATTTTAATTTTATAGATAAGTGTTCCCCGGGTTCACCCTCTGGGAATATGAAAAACTAGCAGAGATGAATGCAATGGTAGTACTTTTGATATCTCACACAAAGAACAACTTTCTTTTGTTATGAAATATTTATTTAAGTCAAAAATATATAAAAGAATAATTGCATTATATGAATTACCAAACACTACAAGTCAGTCACTGTTAGAAGTTTTTAAATTGGTCATGGAAAAATGAGGACTAGATTGGAAAAACAATTTAATCGGCCAGTCGTATGATGGAGCTGCAAATATGAGGAGCTTAAATAGTGGACCGTAAACGCGAATTAACAAGGAAAATCCAAAAGCTTTATACATGTGGTGTCATGCAATTGATGCAATTTGGTAGTTTTGTCTGCGGTTGTCTCTTGTAAGGAGGCAGTAAACTTATTTGGAAATATGGAGTTATATTCCTTTATTGTGAGCAGTAAAAAAAGGTCAGATATATACAGAAAAAAACAATGTGAACTATATAAAAAAACAACTTAAGGCTATCAAACGAGTAGAAACGACTAGGTGGACGTCGAACTCATTTTCTGTTATTAAAATATTATCTCACACTATTTTTCGAATATAATAATAATTGTTTTAGCTAAAAGATAAAATGGTAATACGAGTATTTAATGGTCAAAAGTTCAAAGTATTATTTTTAAGGGTCATATTAAGGGGTGACTTTTAAAAGTCCAATAGCAGCATATATATTAGATTTAGCTAAGAAAAGTAGAATGATGTTATGAAAATAATCACTGGTCGAAATCTAGTTCTCGCGAGTATTACTTTTTAAGTCATTCCTAATGACTTATTAGTATTTAAAGGTATAGATTGAAAGCATATTTACCCGCACTTCCTTCTTGACCTAAACTTCAAATGTGAATAGTTGAAAAGTAATTATGCAAATATGTTTATCGACTAGACGTTTTATTGATTATGCCACTCTGATTTAAATAAGTAATAAAAATGTTGTTATTTTACTTTTAACAATTACCCTTTATGTAACTATACTTTATGTAAGAAGATTTTTTCTGCTAAATATTAAATATAATAATAAGGGTTTGGTAACATGAAAATAACTGAATATAATATGTAATAAAGATATTTTAATAATGATATAAAAATATTTTCATTAAATCTAACAATTTATAATACATATTACAAATCACTATGTATGGTTCATAATATGTAAAATACTTTTAACATTTCGAACTTCTCAACATAACTTTTACAATTTTTGGGCTATCAAGTTTGGATTAAGCTTAAAATAAGCGCAAGTCTTAACTGCATCAATACGGGGTCTTGCCAATACTGGTACATTTAATAATAAAATAATACCTTGGATAAAAGTTATTGTGGCCCATAGACACAAAAAATTCCCTAAACCTAATCTTTCTTAACCCAACCCGCATAAATACGACTTTAATGGGGTGTGAGTACTATACTTGCTTCACTGTATCGGATTTCAATAATATTTTTACAGTTCCTATGCCTTTTCATACATTTCAGTGTTATTTTTTGTAATGTTTTTTCAAAACTTATATCAAGAATATTGTGGTCTTCACATGGAAAGGACAGATACTAAGAACACAATATTAAGTATTAACTATTTATAATTAATATTTAAAAATATAATAATGTTGGAAAACATTTAGCTAGATAGTTTATCTCTAATCGTGATTACAGAAAAACCAAAGTTTCCTCGTAAATATATAAAAATGAATTGGTTACCAAAAGCTGTAAAGGGGTTAAAAACCCAGGGACATATTTACGCAAGGACATTATCGGTATTTGTCCAGGGCCACCTACTAGATTTAATCCTTTTAATTTAATTTACAATTAATAAAAATAACCCATTTTTGTCTTTTGTCCGGGGCCTCAAAAATTCTAAATCCGGCTCTGGTTAAACCTAAGTATTTATACCATTATATCATATATTTTATTTTTTCATTTTATAAATATTATAATCACACCATCGGTTTTAGGACAAAAAAATACATCAAGTTCATGTATTATATTGTTCTTGTAGACTTGAATACTACTATCTTTATCGGTTAAAAAAACAGCTTTTTAGTACACGTTAGATAGGAAATATATGATGGCCTGCATCCTGGTGGCGCGCTCTATAGACAGCGTAACGCTGCGTGACCGCTATAAGCCAGTCGATAACATACACCGTCGTGTAAACTGTTTATTTATAACTATGGGTTAGGTATAAATGATGCAAACTCACGTAAAAGTTGAGAAGATTTTACTTGAAGAACTCAGCAGAGGACAGTCGAGCAAGCACGAAAACAGGAACAGATATTACCAGGGTAAATAAGTAGAACTAAAATAAAACTTTTGATTTAAGATTAAGATTAAATTTGTAAGAATACAAGTAAAAATGAGTAAAAATTCTGAACTGTTATCTTTTTTTTTTTTCATCAATTGCATTTTAATATTTTTTCAGCATTTTTTCTTGCTTAGTGATTTTCAACAGCGGCTTGATTTTTGAAAAAAAATTATACACAACAATTATTTGTATACCAAACAACACGTATTAATACATTCCATTCGATGGAAAGTTTTAAAAAATAACTTCCATCAATAAACGTAAAAGTTTAAAAAAAACTTTTTTACATAAACATGTATAAATAAAGTTAAATTTTACTTTTATTAATAACAGAAAATGAGTTCGACGTCCACCTAGTCGTTTCTACTCGTTTGATAGCCTTAAGTTGTTTTTTTATATAGTTCACATTGTTTTTTTCTGTATATATCTGACCTTTTTTTACTGCTCACAATAAAGGAATATAACTCCATATTTCCAAATAAGTTTACTGCCTCCTTACAAGAGACAACCGCAGACAAAACTACCAAATTGCATCAATTGCATGACACCACATGTATAAAGCTTTTGGATTTTCCTTGTTAATTCGCGTTTACGGTCCACTATTTAAGCTCCTCATATTTGCAGCTCCATCATACGACTGGCCGATTAAATTGTTTTTCCAATCTAGTCCTCATTTTTCCATGACCAATTTAAAAACTTCTAACAGTGACTGACTTGTAGTGTTTGGTAATTCATATAATGCAATTATTCTTTTATATATTTTTGACTTAAATAAATATTTCATAACAAAAGAAAGTTGTTCTTTGTGTGAGATATCAAAAGTACTACCATTGCATTCATCTCTGCTAGTTTTTCATATTCCCAGAGGGTGAACCCGGGGAACACTTATCTATAAAATTAAAATGTCAATTAAATAATATTCTATTGTATACCAGTTTGTTTTACTTCTTATTGGTACTATTTTATAGCCGTTTATTACTGTGCAGTGCGCTACCACCTCTAACGTTAGCCTGTTTTGCAGTATTAGTTTAAACTCTAATCGGAGTTCTAATGGAAAAGACCGTTTACAATCGATTATCATTGGTTTAAACTAAAGTTAAACCACTGATTGATACCACCCCATACATTTATTTCCATACTGACATATAGACTGGTATAGTGACATATATACAATTCTCATAGTGCGTAAACGATTAAAACATTATTCATCTCTCCACTTTATGAAATTATTGGGCCGCTCAAGAAACATCGTTCTTTTTCTAGGGAAAGCTAGAAGTACTGCCAGTTCAAATACCAATTGAATAATTGGATTACAGTGATGATTCACTGTGATCATTTTGATGTAAAATAATTTTTTTTCTTTACTTATTATTTTACTATGTTAAATACCTTGCCGAAATGTGACGCCGGTAGTACCCGACGGTCGCCAATAATATTTTTTCGCCTCGTAAAAATGTATGCTAAAACCGTCACTACTCACTAGTTAATACTTTTCAAAAATGATGTTAATTTGATTACTTACGGGCGCTGTGCAGTACTTATAAATCTTTTTTGTTCATCTGACATAAGAATACGGGGTCGTAACCATTCTCATTCCTCAATTATTTTGATGTGTTGTTCAAAATATGTGCCTTACAACTGGCATTTTTAATTTAAATCAATTAAACGTTATAAACAAATGACGTATCGTTAACCGGTTAACTCTTAACTTTAAAGATACACAAAATTGAAATAAATATTCCAGGTTAAATATAATAGAATCAGAACTTATACTAAAATAATGAGCTGAAACTATTTGCGTTCTTATAGTTGACAATATAAACTTTGCAATAGACTCAATTAGCAAGTTTTGTCTATTTCACGATAGGATTATACATGGTAGAATCTAGGTCACAAGTGAAATTGTTCTTGTATCAAAAAACTTTTAAATAATATTACATAATGATTTCTATCATATTCGCATACTATTATATAACATTATATTAAATGTATTACCTATTACATACTCATATCCATGACCCATTACCCATTACGCACCTGAACCTGTATGAATACAATTAAGCACTATAACCTATTGATTCATAGATGAGTGCAATATGTATACATATTTTTTAGTATTTCCATTTTTATCACCCCTCTAATAAGTTTAGCAGAGCTTGTGGGAAGTATCGACAAAGAATTTCAGAATTATAAGGTACTAAAATTGAAAGATCACATGTGATGATGTGATTAGGTACATATTTATTATGTCTTTTTTCAGTTTTTACTTACCTCGGTACCTAGCCGAATAATAGATTTGTTTTAGATAAAAATTATAAAAAGCACTTACCTAAATAGATATATGAGGGTCGGGAACCATTTATAGTGTTCTTGTCTGGGGTTTCAAAAATTCTAGCTGCACCACTGATGTTCAAAATTTTAATCCTTTATACATATTTTTGTGTTACCTTAAAAGCTTCAAGTGATGAAAATTACCTATCTCGCTTTAATGCATTTTTTATACATATTATGTACATCCATAAGACATCATTCGTTGGCAGTTGAATTATTTATGCTAGCCGAAGGAATTATTCATTAGGTTAATGGAACTTCTTAGCTAAACATTGATCAAAATCGTCTACCCTCATTATCTTGCCCTGTGTAGATATTATCTCGTCAGTTATTTAAGTTTTCCACGTAGATTTTCAACCCTTTCAAATAGTACAGAGTGAATAGACACTAAAATATACAGTAAATCATATATAAAATTCAATTTAATTTAAACACGTGAATATTATTTAGCTGAAAAATTATAATACAAAAGGGAGATCTAAAAACATACTTTTATGTCAAGTTTATAAAACTCATTTAAACATAGTAATATACAGGTAGTCAAAAAAAGAAATTTATACCTAAATTAAAAAACTACAAACGAGGTATTTAAATACATAAATATACACGAATATATGAAAATATATATATATATATATATAATCAGAAAGCTATAAAAATTAAAATACACAAAAGATTAAAGAATAAACGTTTTTAATACATTTTACTGAGACCAATTCAGCGAAAAGTCGCTATAGTCGCTGGAAGACTCGACGGCGATACCGGCGCAATAAGGGTCCATGTAATAGTCATTATTGTTATTGTTTAACATTTTCGAGGGATCCAACACCATGAAGTCAACAGACGCGTCGGTCAGCGCGTCGGCGTTTGCCCCGATGAAGTCGATTGGGCTGGCCAAACCGACATCATTGGCCCAGGTCCAGCATAGTGGTAGGTGACTTGTTGGTGTACGACGACGGGTCGTGGCCGTCTTGGAACACATCGTTGGCCAGAGCGGCGCACGGCTGTGGCTGACCGAACGCCTCGGGACCCAAAGCGCGGCAGCAAAATCGTCGATGGGTGACGGGTCGGCGGGCGGCGGTAAACGGGTGAATTGTTGCATACCCGACGACCAGTTGTCGCCGCCAAAAGCGTACGGTTGCGGCATCCCCGTGTCGGCGGTCGTTGCGGGTAGCTCGAGGCGGTTACATACACAGCAGTGTGGTAAACACGAACAGTTAGGGTCTGGAAAACAAAACATAATGGTTAAAATTAGTTTTTCAATAGTGGCAAAATAGGTATGCGATTATTAGAATTGACTATTTTAGCTGAGCAAGTTTGTCGAGTAACTGAAATAATTAAACATTATTGTAATCTGATTTTAAAGCAAAATATAAATGATCTTAATATTTCCACCGAAAAAATATCAGAGCTATACACAAATTAAAAGGCGATCGACCGTTGTTCTAGCCTCATTACACTCATTTTGGATACAATTTAGGTACTTGCGATATTTATCTGAATAAAAAATATTTATTGGAAAATCGATTAAAACTAAATGAAAAAATCTATAAAATTTGAAAAATTTTAATTTCGTTCAGAATTTTATTTCTACTATTTTTTATTAATTTTTTTTTAAACTGGTAATAATTAAATAGGAAATAGAAAATCAAGTGAATCAAGTAGAAGAGTCAGTGAACCAATTTAATATATTTTTATTTGGATTACACCTAATTTGGCTTGGAAGTAACTATTTGGATACTTCTTAAGTCTAATAGTTGATTCTTATATCTTGTGATAGGAGCTGAAAAATGTTTTTTTTTTAATTTAAATATGTTCAAAAATTATTAAAAATAAAAAAATGTAAAACGGTAATAATTATTATTTTAGTGGTATACCAAAAAGAAAAAAATATGATTCTTTGTGCAGAAATATTGATTAAAATTTTAAATTGATAAATCATTTTTAAATATAATTAAGAAATATTTTTTGGTTTATATTTTAAAGAGAATTCCTATCTTGTAACTTTAATATTTATAACGAGACATTTAATGATGTTATAACTTATTTACATTTTACTTATAAGTTATAACTGAAAGACATTATTTGAGTTTTAATTAGGTATATAGACTTACTTATATTTTGATTATCAGGAACTACTCGGGCGGGTTGAACACTTAAATAGTTCTTACGAGTGTTTACTGACTTTTGTTTCCTTGAAGTTGAAGTCTGAAATAAAATTTTAAATGTATATTACAATTCACATAAATTTTTAAAAACCCAATTTTTATAATTATTTTGAATTGTTACAATTTATTAAATTATAAAGAATGCGTTAATGGCTAATATTAATTTATTTTGGAAATAGTAATTATTAAATCAATACTTAAACAAGTATTATATTTTTTCTTGTTTGTAAGATTGTAGGTTATTTTTACATACTATATACACATTTTTTAATTAGATTGTTAAACGCTATAATCGAAAATTCTATAATTACACTAGCCATCATAGGACGAAGGTAATCGTTGTTTTTTTTTCTAATCAATAGTTATTAATTTCAAGAATAAACTTATTATGTAAACCAAAATTTTTAAAAAACCTATTCTTATAATGCTTAATTATGCATTTTTACTTTAAAATCGGTTGAATGATACCATTGTTCTTAAACTAAATATATTATCATTTATGTACATAATTGTCCATTAATTGGACATTTATGTCCATAAAATTGGGTTCCTAGTTTCTACCTAGTTGAATAAAATATAAGGCGCTCCGTTTGCTGGGCGAGCAATCGTTCGGTGAAAAGGAACCGCCATCCCCCTCTACGGCGACGGATTGACGACCCGTCCCGGAAGCGAATTCGTCAAAAAACCATCTCATGATGGCAGCGTTGGGCCTTCATGGCCCGTTAAGCTACATGATGATGATGATGATGATGATGAATAAAATATAAAATATTTTAACTTAGATGCGGAGCTTAAAAATTGTTTTAATTTGATTATACGTTTGTACATACTATTTATTTTACACACAGTAAATTTAAAACCACAAGACGTGGTAGATTTTGCGTGAAACAAATAATATCATAGAGTACTTTACATATTATAATTTTTTAATTATAACATAACTAAATACTATCAATTGTTTGAAATTGTACACTTAAATAGTGACTAAAGATGGACCATCAATAATTAAAAGCTATAATTTATTCATGGACAAATAAAGTAAATAAAGCGCGTTATTTATAACTATATAATTTGAACGATCGAAATCTAGATTTTGAAATATGTGAAAATCGTGTTCAATATAATTGTAATATATCAACGAACCTGTCGTGCACATAATGCCTTAGGTTTAATTTATATACCTAGTGATCAGCAGAGAAATCTGAGACTTTTTGTTTACAACTTGACCTACAAATTACAATTTATAAGTATGTTATACTATAGTATTTATGCTATATTGTCCGTGTAGAAAACAGCTCTACAGTCATTTATATTCATAATATTATATTATATATTTTATGATTCATGGGCAACCGACTAGGCGGTTTTTGAGTGTGTGCCACAGAGCGTTTATTATCAATGAAAACCTACAATTAAAGGTATTAATTTTTCCCGAAGACAATGCAAAACCGATTTAATAATTATAATCTGTATAGTATATTTGTGGCTCGGGTAGGGCTAAACAACTAGATATTAATTATACGTATATACTATAGTCGTTTAATTTATATGTTTCCATGTAAAATACACATTATTATAATATTTAACATCTCAGTCCTCCTTGCTCAACACAATTAAGCGTATTTATAAATGGAGTTATTAATTTTTAACTAATTCGAATCGTATACAATAACTGGCGACTGATGTATACTGACGATTAGGTCGTTATTAGTTCAATTTAAATAGCACATAATATCTGTAACAACTGTGAATAAGTGTGTAAGTCGATTCTAGTGATTTTACAGGGGAGCGATTTTAAACTTTAACCAGCTGCCATAAATCAGGATTTCATTAAAAACATTACATTTTTTTATGATCCTCTTGTATTGATAAATATCTTAGAGGTACTCAAATGGTTTATTTCAAACTTGAAATTGCTCAAAAAAAAAACCTGTAAAATCACTGAAATCGACTTACACCACACTTATTCACAGTTGTTATAGACATAATCGTAATAAAATCATTCAAAGTATTCAAGCAACCCAATGATATTCAACAGGTCTGGTCTAAAATGATAACGTATGGTTATAATAATTGTGTGTTTTAATTAGTATTTTTTTTATTCGCATTTTAAAGAATATAATATTTTGCACTAACATTTTGCTATAAGCAAATAATTAGGTTTAATCACTTTTGAAACTTGTTTTACCGTAACTGTAGCGTTGGTTCATGGTGTAGTACGGTATTTACATTTAAGAGGTTTTGTAACTGTAATATTATAAAGGGCTAAGTGGGTGTATCAAAAAGTTTAACGGCCGAAAACGATTAAAAGGATTCGGCTTCCGAAAATCGTTCATTCTGCGCACTTTTCAATTCTCACTAGTTTATAACGTTAGCATAAGTGTGTTATAATTTTAAGTGATTGTAAGATGTAACGCTTACAACAATAATCGTGTTACGACAAACGCCATGGAGGGTATGATAATTATAAACAACGACATAATACTTATACAAGTATAAACTTTGTACCGTATAATATGTACATATAATATGTGCTACACTTTTAAACAAAAATCGACCTGTACTCCTTCTACACGGGTTTTGCATATGCTCGTAAGACTTCGAATAAACCGTACAAAAAGCTTAATAATAACATGAGCTTATTCCGGTCCGATAATGGCGAGCTGTGTCGATTACTTACACAGAAAAAACAAACAAGGTAAACCCCCTTTGCGGTAGACTACAGCGACTGGCGATTAAACGTGTGTGATGTAAGTTTTACATAACAAAATGTGTTGACGGTTATAAGCGTTAATAAATTAAAAAAACAAAGTTATTTGTTTAAGTTTTTTTTTCTTTCAAAAATAGACTTTTGGTATTTTGTAAGCTAATGATTTATTTACAAAAAAAAAAAAAAAAACAGAACTTAAAAATGTGAATAACCAGCATAGAAGATATTTTTTAAGATGTTTATATTACATTCGTGGACTTTTATATTCTTTTATGTTAATGCATGTTTATTGTTGTGTGCATTTTCGTGTAACATATCACGTCATATAGAGTACTTAAATTGTATGCATTAAAAGTGTATTAGGTATAGCATTATATTTTTTATTGTGTAAACTTTAACTCTATGACTAATGATTTTATGTTATTTAAGTGAATTTTTTTCTAGTCCCCCTCCCCATTTATTTTCATACCTTATTATGACATTATATACAAATTATATATATATATATCATATAATAGTATGTACCTACTAATCGATGTATCTGTTGTAGTTTCAAGAAGTAAATCTAATAAATTGGAACAAAAAATCGCGTAACAACGTTTTGTCCAATAGGAAAGCGTGCTGTAATTGACAAACAAGTATATCAATTCGTTTAGGGTGTTTTCTCTTTCGAAAATAAAAGCGAAAATTTGAATCGTACAAAGTACTTTTGGCGTTAGATCAAAGTACCTATAGATTATTTTTATTAAAAAATCGGCACAGGGGTTAAAAAGTTATCGTGGGTCTGGAGACAAAAAAATAATAAAATCACTCAATGAAAATAAAAATCATTATCGAACCTATAGACATTTTACTAAATGGACCGTGCAAGGAAAACAAATTATTTTAGCAAGATGTGTGCGATAGAGACAGAGCAAGTTAGGGAATGTCCTAACCAGTTCGGCTAAATTAGCTCTGTCTCTCTCCCATATCATTTATAATGTGATTCATCGTTATACATTGTCATTTGTCTATGATCGAAATTCGAACCTTTTCAGTTCCATATCGAAACGGTTAATAAAAAATATAATAGTAATAATGCCCGTTAAAAAAAAAGGAATATTATTCCAACGTTCGTCTTGTTTGTTACAAGATAATGATTTTATGTTTTAACCTCAAGACAGTCAACAGTTACAAGAATATTCAACTACGGTTTAATAAAAAAAATGTATACATTATTTACTCCTGTAGTGTACTGATGAGTATCGACGTTCCATGATAATTTTACAACTACAAAATGTATATGTTCGGTCGTACCAACGATACTAACGTTGTTTGTCAATAAAGTAATAGGTACAGTGAATATACATATGACAGTACACAGGTACAATATAAAACTGTTGTGTTGTTTCCCGTATTATTATAATAATTTGTTTTATTGCCTCGCGGCATTTGAATCGTGTGTGTGTTGATGTCCACCGGGCGTTATCATTGATGAACGATTTTGATATATTTAATAATTAATAATATATTATTCCTGTAGTGGAATTCATAGTGTACGGTATAAGTACTGTTATAGCAATGTCGCAGTAGTACCTATTAGCATGGACGCGTCGTGACTTATAATACTCATGCAATTTCTTATTACACATATTATATAAATAAATAGGTACATCGATCAATTTTACCGTAAATATAAATCTAAATTAGCCTACCGATATGTTAAAAAATTTAAAAATATTTTTTATGATAGCGGCGGGAATTATTTGAGAGTTGGAACAGTTATTACCTATTCGATTAACTGAATTAAAATCACGTTAGATAAACCTAATTGAAGATAATTCTAAAGACAATATAAAAATTATCAAAATTTCAATTTTAAATCAGTAGTAGGTATTTTTTATTATACCTATAGCTTTTTTCAAAATTATTTTATACATATTTGAGATTACTGTTTGTACCAAATTTGTTGTCAATACTTTTTCAGAATAACGTCTTTGTATTAAGTTTAAATTAAATATTCATTATATTACATATTTGCATATACTGCATTTACAATAAAAAAATTCTATACTCAATCTTTTGACAGGTTATAGCGGTAATTAGTAAAGTGGTTGTAGTTAAATAAGTATCAAAGAAAACAATATTAAAATCTATACGATACAAAAATTAGTTGTTCTTTTATTATTACTATAATAATTACTGTTTTTTTCTGAGAATCGTCACAATTTTATTTTACTATGGTGCTTTTCTTTGTGCGCCTAACTTAACCGGTACTTTTGTTGGCTGTATAATTTTCACGATATATTAACATTGAACGTTTTTAGCCAAAGTAGGTAAAAAGCCACTGATATAATTTCCACACCACATGGTACCTACTCTATGAATTGACTTCTCGATGAAATTATTTTTATTTCAAGTATTTAGTAGATGTGGGAATGTCTCTCTTGGATTTTTTTGTACACTGTATTAGATAAAAAACAAACATTGTTATCTATATCTAAGCAACTATCGTTACCATTCAATTTATTTTAACAATAAAACTAGTAATTATATTATACTAAACTTAAGCTTTTTATATTTGTACATATATTTAAAATTCGTTATTTTATTTTTAAGACAATTTTTTTTATCTTACCTTGCCGTTGTTGAATAAAACATCTCTTGACACTAACATACCAAAGTTCCTGATTTTTAAACTTTTCCGGGCTTCTGAAGTTGATTTGGCTTCCGGCCTTAAATGATCATGCACACCTTTTGCTTGAAAAAAAATGGCATGTTCGGTGTGTCTCCAGAAATGAGTGACCGGGTAGCCACAGTGTCCACGACAGGGCATTATTTCCAAGTGCCCACTGCATTGGCGGTTTGGACAGGGTTTACCTACAAATCCAACCACAACAATTATTATTATTTTCTATGTAAGGTAATTTAAATACATATGACATAGTACTATACTACACACTATGCACTTCTCTTAGGTACTATATTTATACTCATTATGTTATATCACATATTATCTTAAGTCTCACATGTTATTTCATACCATACAAAAACTATTATCAGGTAACATAAAACATGACAAAAATAATAATTAAAATAAAATATTCATAACATGCATTGGAATATAAAATGTGTAGGTATAAAACAATTTTCGAGCTTCAAAAAAAAATTTGGCGGAAATCGGACGAGTCCATTGGTGTGGTTTATTTTTAATGTAAGAGCACTTGTATAAGAAATATTTTTATATTGTTTTTAAAAATAATATAAAAATCTTTGTTGTCTGAGCTAACCTGTTTGTTTAGATTAATTGTTTTAATATGTTTGCCAGTTCACAATAATATTATGAGTTAAAATGTTTATTGTTTTTAAATGTATGAAACATACCTTGTTGCTTTTATCCTGGCCTTGTCGCATATGGCTGGTCTTAGGTGGACTGTATCGCCATTTGGTAGTACGCACCTTCTAGAACACAGGAGGACACCTAGACAAGATTTATTCAAGATGTGCACATTATGGTTGTTTGTATTCCTCATTGCCCATCCAGAAGCGTGTCTCTTGGCCTCCTCACAAATCGACGGGTACACCAGGCGACAATGGCCATCAGCCCATTCTTCCCAGTGATTGAAACTGCTCACCTTTAAAATAATACAATATATTTTTTAATATAGCTAAGCATTTGACTGTTATATATTCTTTCATGGAATGTTTTATTAATGTATATTTTGTTTTATACCTACACGCAATTTCCAGTTCCTTTATTTCCGTTAATATAGTTTTTTACTTTATATTATTTATTTTGATTAAAAAAAGAAAATTTGTAAAAGTCGGTACTGTCGCGATTATATTTAATTTATATCCGTGTATAAGCGTTATAATTGTGGATAGAATTTCTTATTAATTACATAAGTATATAGTTTAAATATTAGGCTAACTATAAAAAATACAAACAAAAAATGTCCACCATCAAAACCCTCTAACCTCAGTCGTCATCTCGCATAAACCGAATCTTTTAAATAACAAATACGAAACAAATTTAAGTTAAGAATTCATGCCGCTGGGTAATCTTCTCAATTCAAAAACTTTTAATTATTGCATTTGTTGCATTAAAATGCAGATTGTATAAATGTGTTAACGATAGTAGAAAACATTTCAAAAATTATTAGTTTTATTGGAAAAACGGATGATGTATGTCTTAAGATAGCATAAAAGATAATAATATATTTTTGTAAAAATATGCTATCAGCCAAATGATTTTGCCTGAACTGAGAAAAATAATTATACCTAAAAAATTATCATACAAATTTGCTAAGATTTTCTTTTAGTAAGTTTTAACATACTAAACATGTATCCTTATATTTTAAAATTTTTCCTAAAGCTCTACTTTTATCATTATAAATAAATTAATTAATGTTAACGATTTTTTTTTCTTGGTAAAAAATTGACTAAGATAAAAAGTTTAACTTTTTGGTTTCCAATTAAATTAATTGACAGTAACACATCGTTTATTGGTTTCTATAATAAGTAGGTACATTACCTAATAATATATAATAATGTATACTGTATTTTATAGGTAATAATAAATTATTGTTGTTCACAATACAATAAGAAGTTAAAACGAGCGTGTACAATAATAATAACAGTAGAATTTTATTGTGACAAAAAATAGATAATGAACCGAATAGCTTACAGCATTGAGTATATATTGTATACATTGAATATATACTCAATACTTAAAAGTTACAGGCAGTATAAAAACCCTAATTAATCCGAATTAAGCAGCGTTATGAAATATGATTATTCAAAAAAAAATTTGGCGGAAATCGGACGAGTCCATTGGTGTGGTTTATTTTTAATGTAAGAGCACTTGTATAAGAAATATTTTTATATTGTTTTTAAAAATAATATAAAAATCTTTGTTGTCTGAGCTAACCTGTTTAGATTAATTGTTTTAATATGTTTGCCAGTTCACAATAATATTATGAGTTAAAATGTTTATTGTTTTTAAATGTATGAAACATACCTTGTTGCTTTTTCCTGGCCTTGTCGCATATGGCTGGTCTTAGGTGGACTGTATCGCCATTTGGTAGTACGCACCTTCTAGAACACAGGAGGACACCTAGACAAGATTTCTTCAAGATGTGCACATTATGGTTGTTTGTATTCCTCATTGGCCATCCAGAAGCGTGTCTCTTGGCCTCCTCACAATTCGACGGGTACACCAGGCGACAATGGCCATCAGCCCATTCTTCCCAGTGATTGAAACTGCTCACCTTTAAAATAATACAATATATTTTTTAATATAGCTAAGCATTTGACTGTTATATATTCTTTCATAGAATGTTTTATTAATGTATATTTTTGTAATATTATGAGTTAAAATGTTTATTGTTTTTAAATGTATGAAACATACCTTGTTGCTTTTTCCTGGCCTTGTCGCATATGGCTGGTCTTAGGTGGACTGTATCGCCATTTGGTAGTACGCACCTTCTAGAACACAGGAGGACACCTAGACAAGATTTCTTCAAGATGTGCACATTATGGTTGTTTGTATTCCTCATTGGCCATCCAGAAGCGTGTCTCTTGGCCTCCTCACAATTCGACGGGTACACCAGGCGACAATGGCCATCAGCCCATTCTTCCCAGTGATTGAAACTGCTCACCTTTAAAATAATACAATATATTTTTTAATATAGCTAAGCATTTGACTGTTATATATTCTTTCATAGAATGTTTTATTAATGTATATTTTTGTAATATTATGAGTTAAAATGTTTATTGTTTTTAAATGTATGAAACATACCTTGTTGCTTTTTCCTGGCCTTGTCGCATATGGCTGGTCTTAGGTGGACTGTATCGCCATTTGGTAGTACGCACCTTCTAGAACACAGGAGGACACCTAGACAAGATTTCTTCAAGATGTGCACATTATGGTTGTTTGTATTCCTCATTGCCCATCCAGAAGCGTGTCTCTTGGCCTCCTCACAATTCGACGGGTACACCAGGCGACAATGGCCATCAGCCCATTCTTCCCAGTGATTGAATCTGCTCACCTTTAAAATAATACAATATATTTTTTAATATAGCTAAGCATTTGACTGTTATATATTCTTTCATAGAATGTTTTATTAATGTATATTTTGTTTTATGCCTACACGCAATTTCCAGTTCCTTTATTGCCGTTAATATATTGTTTACTTTGTATTATTTATTTTGATTAAAAAGAAAATTTGTAAAAGTCGGTACTGTCGCGTTAGCTTTATTTCTGGCCGTGTGTACGCGTTATAATTGTGGATAGAGTCTTTAGGAATGGACATATGTATATCGTTTCCATATTAAGCTAAAGATAGAAAATACAAACAAAAACTATCCACCATCAGAACCCTCTACCTCAGTCGTCATCTCGCATAAACCGAATCTTATAAATAACAAATACGAAACAAATTTAAGTGCAGCATTCATGCCGCTGGGTAATCTGCTCAATTCAAAAACTTTTACTTATTGCCTTTGTTGCATCAAGAATGCAGATTGTATAACTGTGTTAAGGCTCGTAGAAAACATTTCAAAACTATTAGTTTTCTGGAAAAACGGATGATGTATGTCTTACAGATAGCATAAAAGATAATCATATATTTTTGTAAAATATGCCATCAGCCACATGATCTTGCCAGTGAACTGAGAAACTGCTTCTACCTTTAAAATACATACAATGATAGTTTTCTTAGTAAGTACTAGCTAAGCATGTTGACTGTTAAATCCAGCTCTCTTTCATAGAATGTTTTATTAATGTATCGATTTTTCGGTAATATTGACTGAGTTAAAATGTTTACTTGTTTTTAAATGTATGAAGACATACCTTGGTTGCTTTGTGGTCCTGGCCTTGTCGCATATGGCTGGTCTTAGGTGGACTGTATCGCCATTTGGTAGTACGCACCTTCTAGAAGCACACGGAGGACACCTAGACAGAGATTTCTTGGCAAGATGCCGTGCTACATTATGGTTGTTTGTATTCCTGCATTGCCCATCCAGAAGCGTCGTCTCTTGGCCTACTCACCGAATTCGCAGCGGGTACAACAGGCGACAATGGCGGCATCAGCCGATTCTTCCCAGTGGATTGAAACTGCTCAGGCCTTGTAAAGATAATACAATATATTTTTTAATATAGCTAAACATCTTGACTGTCTGATATATTCTGTTCATAGAATGTTGTTATTAATGTATGTTTTTGTCACATATTATGAGTTAAAATGTTTATTGTTTTTAAATGTATGAAACATACCTTGTTGCTTTTTCCTGGCCTTGTCGCATATGGCTGGTCTTAGGTGGACTGTATCGCCATTTGGTAGTACGCACCTTCTAGAACACAGGAGGACACCTAGACAAGATTTCTTCAAGATGTGCACATTATGGTTGTTTGTATTCCTCATTGCCCATCCAGAAGCGTGTCTCTTGGCCTCCTCACAATTCGACGGGTACACCAGGCGACAATGGCCATCAGCCCATTCTTCCCAGTGATTGAAACTGCTCACCTTTAAAATAATACAATATATTTTTTAATATAGCTAAGCATTTGACTGTTATATATTCTTTCATAGAATGTTTTATTAATGTATATTTTTGTAATATTATGAGTTAAAATGTTTATTGTTTTTAAATGTATGAAACATACCTTGTTGCTTTTTCCTGGCCTTGTCGCATATGGCTGGTCTTAGGTGGACTGTATCGCCATTTGGTAGTACGCACCTTCTAGAACACAGGAGGACACCTAGACAAGATTTCTTCAAGATGTGCACATTATGGTTGTTTGTATTCCTCATTGCCCATCCAGAAGCGTGTCTCTTGGCCTCCTCACAATTCGACGGGTACACCAGGCGACAATGGCCATCAGCCCATTCTTCCCAGTGATTGAAACTGCTCACCTTTAAAATAATACAATATATTTTTTAATATAGCTAAGCATTTGACTGTTATATATTCTTTCATAGAATGTTTTATTAATGTATATTTTTGTAATATTATGAGTTAAAATGTTTATTGTTTTTAAATGTATGAAACATACCTTGTTGCTTTTTCCTGGCCTTGTCGCATATGGCTGGTCTTAGGTGGACTGTATCGCCATTTGGTAGTACGCACCTTCTAGAACACAGGAGGACACCTAGACAAGATTTCTTCAAGATGTGCACATTATGGTTGTTTGTATGCCTCATTGCCCATCCAGAAGCGTGTCTCTTGGCCTGCCTCACAATTCGACGGGTACACCAGGCGACAATGGCCATCAGCCCATTCTTCCCAGTGATTGAAACTGCTCACCTTTAAAATAATACAATATATTTTTTAATATAGCTAAGCATTTGACTGTTATATATTCTTTCATAGAATGTTTTATTAATGTATGTTTTTGTAATATTATGAGTTAAAATGTTTATTGTTTTTAAATGTATGAAACATACCTTGTTGCTTTTTCCTGGCCTTGTCGCATATGGCTGGTCTTAGGTGGACTGTATCGCCATTTGGTAGTACGCACCTTCTAGAACACAGGAGGACACCTAGACAAGATTTCTTCAAGATGTGTACATTATGGTTGTTTGTATTCCTCATTGCCCATCCAGAAGCGTGTCTCTTGGCCTCCTCACAATTCGACGGGTACACCAGGCGACAATGGCCATCAGCCCATTCTTCCCAGTGATTGAAACTGCTCACCTTTAAAATAATACAATATATTTTTTAATGTAGCTAAGCATTTGACTGTTATATATTCTTTCATAGAATGTTTTATTAATGTATAGTTTTTGTAATATTATGAGTTAAAATGTTTATTGTTTTTAAATGTATGAAACATACCTTGTTGCTTTTTCCTGGCCTTGTCGCATATGGCTGGTCTTAGGTGGACTGTATCGCCATTTGGTAGTACGCACCTTCTAGAACACAGGAGGACACCTAGACAAGATTTCTTCAAGATGTGCACATTATGGTTGTTTGTATTCCTCATTGCCCATCCAGAAGCGTGTCTCTTGGCCTCCTCACAATTCGACGGGTACACCAGGCGACAATGGCCATCAGCCCATTCTTCCCAGTGATTGAAACTGCTCACCTTTAAAATAATACAATATATTTTTTAATATAGCTAAGCATTTGACTGTTATATATTCTTTCATAGAATGTTTTATTAATGTATATTTTTGTAATATTATGAGTTAAAATGTTTATTGTTTTTAAATGTATGAAACATACCTTGTTGCTTTTTCCTGGCCTTGTCGCATATGGCTGGTCTTAGGTGGACTGTATCGCCATTTGGTAGTACGCACCTTCTAGAACACAGGAGGACACCTAGACAAGATTTCTTCAAGATGTGCACATTATGGTTGTTTGTATTCCTCATTGCCCATCCAGAAGCGTGTCTCTTGGCCTCCTCACAATTCGACGGGTACACCAGGCGACAATGGCCATCAGCCCATTCTTCCCAGTGATTGAAACTGCTCACCTTTAAAATAATACAATATATTTTTTAATATAGCTAAGCATTTGACTGTTATATATTCTTTCATAGAATGTTTTATTAATGTATATTTTTGTAATATTATGAGTTAAAATGTTTATTGTTTTTAAATGTATGAAACATACCTTGTTGCTTTTTCCTGGCCTTGTCGCATATGGCTGGTCTTAGGTGGACTGTATCGCCATTTGGTAGTACGCACCTTCTAGAACACAGGAGGACACCTAGACAAGATTTCTTCAAGATGTGCACATTATGGTTGTTTGTATTCCTCATTGCCCATCCAGAAGCGTGTCTCTTGGCCTCCTCACAATTCGACGGGTACACCAGGCGACAATGGCCATCAGCCCATTCTTCCCAGTGATTGAAACTGCTCACCTTTAAAATAATACAATATATTTTTTAATGTAGCTAAGCATTTGACTGTTATATATTCTTTCATAGAATGTTTTATTAATGTATATTTTTGTAATATTATGAGTTAAAATGTTTATTGTTTTTAAATGTATGAAACATACCTTGTTGCTTTTTCCTGGCCTTGTCGCATATGGCTGGTCTTAGGTGGACTGTATCGCCATTTGGTAGTACGCACCTTCTAGAACACAGGAGGACACCTAGACAAGATTTCTTCAAGATGTGCACATTATGGTTGTTTGTATTCCTCATTGCCCATCCAGAAGCGTGTCTCTTGGCCTCCTCACAATTCGACGGGTACACCAGGCGACAATGGCCATCAGCCCATTCTTCCCAGTGATTGAAACTGCTCACCTTTAAAATAATACAATATATTTTTTAATATAGCTAAGCATTTGACTGTTATATATTCTTTCATAGAATGTTTTATTAATGTATATTTTGTTTTATACCTACACGCAATTTCCAGTTCCTTTATTTCCGTTAATATAGTTTTTTACTTTATATTATTTATTTTGATTAAAAAAAGAAAAATTGTAAAAGTCGGTACTGTCGCGATTATATTTAATTTATATCCGTGTATAAGCGTTATAATTGTGGATAGAATTTCTTATTAATTACATATGTATATAGTTTAAATATTAAGCTAAATATAAAAAATACAAACAAAAAATATCCACCATCAAAACCCTCTAACCTCAGTCGTCATCTCGCGTAGTACCGCATCTTCTAAATAACAATACGAAACACATGGAAGTTAAGAATTCATGCCGCTGGGCAAGCTTCTCAATTCAAAAACTTGAATTATTGCATTGTTGCATTAAAATGCAGATTGTATAAATGTGTTCCGGATAGTAGACCCATTTCCAGAATTAGTAGTTCTCTTGGAAACCGGATGCTGCATGTCTTAAGATAGCGACGGGTAACACTCTATTGGCGTAACAATATGCCATCAGCCACATATCTTGCCTGAGCTGATTGAAAACTGCTTATACCTTTAAAATATCATACAAATTTGCTAAGATTTTTTTAGTAGTTTTAACATACTAAGCATGTATCCTGATCTGTTAAAATTTTTCCTAAAGCTCTACTTTTATCATTAGAAATAAGTTAATTAATGTTAACGATGTTTTTTTCTTGGTAAAATATTGACTGAGTTAAAATGTTTAACTTTTGGTTTCCAATTAAATGTAATTGACAGTAACAATACGTTTCTTGGTTGCTATAATAAGTAGGTACCTGGCCTAATAGTCGCATAATGTAGACTGTAGTCTATAGGTGGACTGTATCGCCATTATGGTTGTTCGCACCTTCAATAAGAAGTTAACACGAGCGTGTACAATCCTAGAACAGTAGATTTTTACTGTGACAAAAAATAGATAGTGAACCGAATATTACAGATTGAGTATGTATTGTATTCCTTGCATATAGACTCCATCCTTAGAAGTTACAGGCAGTCTCTTGGCCCTAATTCATCCGAATTACGCAGCGTTATGAAATATGATTATTCAAAAACCATTGGCGGACAATCGGCCATCGAGCCCATTGGTGTGCCAGTTGATTGTTAACTGCTAAGAGCACTTGTATAAGATAATATCTTTATATTGTTTTAAAAATAATAGCTAAACATCTTTGTCTGTCTGAGCTATACCTGTTTCAGATGAATTGTTTTATTAATGTATTTCGTTTACAGTAATATTATGAGTTAAAATGTTTATTGTTTTTAAATGTATGAAACATACCTTGTTGCTTTTTCCTGGCCTTGTCGCATATGGCTGGTCTTAGGTGGACTGTATCGCCATTTGGTAGTACGCACCTTCTAGAACACAGGAGGACACCTAGACAAGATTTCTTCAAGATGTGCACATTATGGTTGTTTGTATTCCTCATTGCCCATCCAGAAGCGTGTCTCTTGGCCTCCTCACAATTCGACGGGTACACCAGGCGACAATGGCCATCAGCCCATTCTTCCCAGTGATTGAAACTGCTCACCTTTAAAATAATACAATATATTTTTTAATATAGCTAAGCATTTGACTGTTATATATTCTTTCATAGAATGTTTTATTAATGTATATTTTTGTAATATTATGAGTTAAAATGTTTATTGTTTTTAAATGTATGAAACATACCTTGTTGCTTTTTCCTGGCCTTGTCGCATATGGCTGGTCTTAGGTGGACTGTATCGCCATTTGGTAGTACGCACCTTCTAGAACACAGGAGGACACCTAGACAAGATTTCTTCAAGATGTGCACATTATGGTTGTTTGTATTCCTCATTGCCCATCCAGAAGCGTGTCTCTTGGCCTCCTCACAATTCGACGGGTACACCAGGCGACAATGGCCATCAGCCCATTCTTCCCAGTGATTGAAACTGCTCACCTTTAAAATAATACAATATATTTTTTAATATAGCTAAGCATTTGACTGTTATATATTCTTTCATAGAATGTTTTATTAATGTATATTTTTGTAATATTATGAGTTAAAATGTTTATTGTTTTTAAATGTATGAAACATACCTTGTTGCTTTTTCCTGGCCTTGTCGCATATGGCTGGTCTTAGGTGGACTGTATCGCCATTTGGTAGTACGCACCTTCTAGAACACAGGAGGACACCTAGACAAGATTTCTTCAAGATGTGCACATTATGGTTGTTTGTATTCCTCATTGCCCATCCAGAAGCGTGTCTCTTGGCCTCCTCACAATTCGACGGGTACACCAGGCGACAATGGCCATCAGCCCATTCTTCCCAGTGATTGAAACTGCTCACCTTTAAAATAATACAATATATTTTTTAATATAGCTAAGCATTTGACTGTTATATATTCTTTCATAGAATGTTTTATTAATGTATATTTTTGTAATATTATGAGTTAAAATGTTTATTGTTTTTAAATGTATGAAACATACCTTGTTGCTTTTTCCTGGCCTTGTCGCATATGGCTGGTCTTAGGTGGACTGTATCGCCATTTGGTAGTACGCACCTTCTAGAACACAGGAGGACACCTAGACAAGATTTCTTCAAGATGTGCACATTATGGTTGTTTGTATTCCTCATTGCCCATCCAGAAGCGTGTCTCTTGGCCTCCTCACAATTCGACGGGTACACCAGGCGACAATGGCCATCAGCCCATTCTTCCCAGTGATTGAAACTGCTCACCTTTAAAATAATACAATATATTTTTTAATATAGCTAAGCATTTGACTGTTATATATTCTTTCATAGAATGTTTTATTAATGTATATTTTTGTAATATTATGAGTTAAAATGTTTATTGTTTTTAAATGTATGAAACATACCTTGTTGCTTTTTCCTGGCCTTGTCGCATATGGCTGGTCTTAGGTGGACTGTATCGCCATTTGGTAGTACGCACCTTCTAGAACACAGGAGGACACCTAGACAAGATTTCTTCAAGATGTGCACATTATGGTTGTTTGTATTCCTCATTGCCCATCCAGAAGCGTGTCTCTTGGCCTCCTCACAATTCGACGGGTACACCAGGCGACAATGGCCATCAGCCCATTCTTCCCAGTGATTGAAACTGCTCACCTTTAAAATAATACAATATATTTTTTAATATAGCTAAGCATTTGACTGTTATATATTCTTTCATAGAATGTTTTATTAATGTATATTTTTGTAATATTATGAGTTAAAATGTTTATTGTTTTTAAATGTATGAAACATACCTTGTTGCTTTTTCCTGGCCTTGTCGCATATGGCTGGTCTTAGGTGGACTGTATCGCCATTTGGTAGTACGCACCTTCTAGAACACAGGAGGACACCTAGACAAGATTTCTTCAAGATGTGCACATTATGGTTGTTTGTATTCCTCATTGCCCATCCAGAAGCGTGTCTCTTGGCCTCCTCACAATTCGACGGGTACACCAGGCGACAATGGCCATCAGCCCATTCTTCCCAGTGATTGAAACTGCTCACCTTTAAAATAATACAATATATTTTTTAATATAGCTAAGCATTTGACTGTTATATATTCTTTCATAGAATGTTTTATTAATGTATATTTTTGTAATATTATGAGTTAAAATGTTTATTGTTTTTAAATGTATGAAACATACCTTGTTGCTTTTTCCTGGCCTTGTCGCATATGGCTGGTCTTAGGTGGACTGTATCGCCATTTGGTAGTACGCACCTTCTAGAACACAGGAGGACACCTAGACAAGATTTCTTCAAGATGTGCACATTATGGTTGTTTGTATTCCTCATTGCCCATCCAGAAGCGTGTCTCTTGGCCTCCTCACAATTCGACGGGTACACCAGGCGACAATGGCCATCAGCCCATTCTTCCCAGTGATTGAAACTGCTCACCTTTAAAATAATACAATATATTTTTTAATATAGCTAAGCATTTGACTGTTATATATTCTTTCATAGAATGTTTTATTAATGTATATTTTTGTAATATTATGAGTTAAAATGTTTATTGTTTTTAAATGTATGAAACATACCTTGTTGCTTTTTCCTGGCCTTGTCGCATATGGCTGGTCTTAGGTGGACTGTATCGCCATTTGGTAGTACGCACCTTCTAGAACACAGGAGGACACCTAGACAAGATTTCTTCAAGATGTGCACATTATGGTTGTTTGTATTCCTCATTGCCCATCCAGAAGCGTGTCTCTTGGCCTCCTCACAATTCGACGGGTACACCAGGCGACAATGGCCATCAGCCCATTCTTCCCAGTGATTGAAACTGCTCACCTTTAAAATAATACAATATATTTTTTAATATAGCTAAGCATTTGACTGTTATATATTCTTTCATAGAATGTTTTATTAATGTATATTTTTGTAATATTATGAGTTAAAATGTTTATTGTTTTTAAATGTATGAAACATACCTTGTTGCTTTTTCCTGGCCTTGTCGCATATGGCTGGTCTTAGGTGGACTGTATCGCCATTTGGTAGTACGCACCTTCTAGAACACAGGAGGACACCTAGAC